TCTTCATAGGAACGCCGTCTTCGAGACATCACCACCAATTATGCAACTACTAGAAAAGCTAGGACTAATCTAAATAATTTAAGTACAAAAGTACTTAACGACATGCAGTCCGTACTTAGATTTACAAAAATACAAAATGGAACGCAGTCCGTATTTACTATACTAGTCGGGCCCCACTAGTTGCCATTTTGTAAAACCTGCATTAGAATATCTATTCCATTCATCTAATCAATTCTAAAGTGAATGACCCATGCATTTCACAAAATAAATCAAGCAATTAACAATGCAAAATGAGCGCAAACTATTAATTAACTTAGGTGGTTAATCCAATTAACGCGCCTTATTAAAACTAGTCAAAGTAATTAACCAATTATGTGAGTTAACGCAATAATAATAGCTCAAAACGATTAATCCAACTTAATTAAGATTAATCCAACTTAATTCAATTAAAATAATAATAGCCCACTAAATTAATCCAATTAAACTAATAATAGCCCACTAAATTCCATATCCAACTTAATGAAAATTAATCCAATTAATTAAGCCGGTTAACAAAATATTTTGCCAAATAATTTTAGAAGTGCCGGAAAAACCGTGGCCTAGCCTCGTTTTAAGTAAAAAACACAAAATTGCAAGAACTAATGCCAAGTGCCTAACCCCAAGCCAAAAGGCCTACGGGATTGGCTAGGCACCAAGCATGACGGGCAAGGACGTCCGCATGCACGTGGCCTACGCAGCAAGGCTGCCTTGGCGCGCGCCACTGCTAGCCACATTAGCTGCCCAACAGCTCTGAGCCTTGCTGCATAGTACAAGTGCTCGCGCCCCAGCCCGCAGCACTTGCTAGGTGCTCCCGTGGGGAGCAGTCACTCGCCTAGCCTGCTAGCCTTCCCAGTATACACTCACGCTCACAGCCACATGCATCTGCATGCCCGCACTCCCTCGGCAGCAACATGCGGGTTGCGCGAGCAGCCCTGCTAGTCGAGGGTGGTGCTCGAGGTTTGGGGCCTCGTTTCACATGCTCATGCCTCGGAATTTCATTCCGAATTTTGTGTTTGACTTTAAAATTAATTCTAAATTGATTTTAGAACTAATATTGAGCAATATTGAGAAAAAACAAGTCCAAATTATTAAATTCAATTTTAGTGCACAAACCAAAATTAATTCAAGAACCATTCTTTTAAATTATTTTTTGCTCAACTTGATGCTAAAAAAATTGAAGGCTATTCTTACAATTAATTTCGGCAACATAAATTAATAATGAGATTTGACAAAATAGTTGAATAAATAATTAATCATACAATGAAATAATTTATGCAACACTTATGCACATTTGTATATTGTAACCTTCCAATATGAAGAACAATAATATTTCAAGCACAAGTATGAACATTTAATATTATAATCAACTTCCAAAATGATTAAAACCAAAATTTAATTCATTATAGATTTTAGTAAGTTAAGATTCAACCATTTAAACCATTAAAGATTGAATCTTTAACATTTTAGGGGCTTCAAAAATCATTTCACCATAAACTTTCACACTCCAAGCAATTTATTTGCAAGAATGTGAAATTTCAAGTTTATGTGAAATTAAGAGCTCACCAAATTAAGCAACCAATAGGACTTCATAAAAATGCTTAGAAAGGTGTAAAATTGCTGAAGATCGATGGTATAATCAAACACATAATCCAACAATTGCATGCCATAATTAATCAAGGGTTAAAGATTTAAAAAATTTCATTCCAAACGAAAAACCCACGAAAAAAAATTTCTCGGTAGATTTTGGCTTCTGGAAGGTCATTTTTAAAAACTTTGTGGATAAAAAATGATTTAGAACGTCGATTCCACCCAAAATTCAATATTTTTGAGTCAAAATCGGGGTTTGTAGGTCAAAAGTAGCATAAGTACGATTTTAATCTAATTAAACGAGCTCCGAATCTAATTAGGATGCTTAATAAGAAATTTAAATCCATTTAAATCACCTTAATTAATTTTTAGTTGTAAAAATTAAATGCAAGAGGCTCTTATACCGTTGTTGGGTTTTGTGGTGTTAATGTTCGACACGGCACGGAAACAAAACCCGAAAACCAGATCGCATATATAATAATTACAACATAACAAAAGCATGCAAATAAGCAAAACACAAACACATAAAGAGAAGAGAGAGAAAGAAACTTACCCTAGACGCGTGCTTCGCTCACTCAACGAGCTCGAACTTGGAAAGCTTCAAGCTCCGCAAGTGCGAAACCTTCGACGGCTCACACCCTCGCTCACCGAAGCAATACTAGCCCCTACCCCGTAGCTTAGACTGGGCTAGACCAACATTAACTTAGAGTTTATGAACTAAGGTTTTCTCGCGTTTGGAGATCCCTTAGAGTTACCCAACTCAAGTAAAAATCCCAATATACCCAATGATTGGTATTCATAGGGAATTATTCCCAAGAATTCCCATCATCTTTCAATGTGGGATAGTTGGTAAAATGCCAAAAGAAAGAATTAATTTAATTCTAAATTAAATTAAAATGGAAAAACAATCATCAAACAACAAGTGTCACAAGGAGAGAAAGGGAGTAGGTGAGGACCACAAAGGGAAGGACAATCTTCCATTGCTCCCCAAGCATAATGCTGGCACCAACCATGTGGTGCCAGCAGGCCCCCAGCCTTGGGCACCAAGCCGCACGTTGCTGGCGGCCTGGTGCTCGACTAGACCTGCCAGCCAGCCCGCATTGACGCACGGCCCTGCTAGCCTACCTCGCATGCTATTGCGGGCTGCTGCGTTAGGCGTGGCATCCGCCAGTGAGGCCCCAGCAAGCCTTTCTGGTGTGCCATGCTGCGTGCTTGGCCTGCTTGCCTTGCCTTGCCCACAAGGCTTGCTCCGCAAGCACGCCCAGCCATGCATGCGATGCATGGTGGGCTTACGGCAAGGGCTTTTGCTAGCCATTCTAGCCCACCTAGTCCTCGAATGGCTAGGCCATTTCGAGGCTAGGATTTTTACATGCGTTGACTTGTTGTTTGACTGATTTTTCCGTCTTGTCGATTCCTAAATACGACTCGAGTTTTGACGCTCTAAGCTCGGAATCCGATGTCTTAGTTCGTAAAATCTCTATTGACTCATTTAATCCTTCGGATTAATTCGTCGCTTTGGTTCGGTTACATGATTGGGTGTAACCCGAAGGGTTCAGTCAAGAGCAAGGTGTAATATTAATAATACATTAATATTAATTATCGAAAGCAGCCTCCAGCTAGGCATTCCAATCAGTTGACCTCACTGAATAATTAGCTTTCGTAATTAATTCCGAATCTTCTATTGGAATAATACACTTGTTCGAATGACACCATTCCTTTCACAAGCAACACTAATTGATTAATTTAAGTGATTCAGGACAAGTAAAAGTAATATGATTTATATAAGTGCTCATTAATTACCACTTTTCCTTGCTAGATCTTCGTTTAGAATGTTTATGGACACCTCCACCAAAAGAACAAAGTAATCTAAAGGGTGTGCTTGGGACAAGAGGGTCAATTATTGCATATGTTCATAAAATGTTACTACTTACCTTTAGGCTATTTTTCTGTGTCTTTTTTTTAGCTCGTATTGAACCTCTATTTATAGGGATTGGGTAAAATTAGGGTTACGGAGATTCTGCCGCAGCAGGTTGCGCGCGTAACTCTGAAGTTTGCGCGCGTAACACTGAAGGTTGCGCGTGGCTTCCGCGCGGAAGTGAATTCGTTGCACTACACAAGGCAGCGTGACTTCTACTCTTGCATAGGGTAGTATGGTAAGATTTGATTCAGTAATTTTCTAAAATTCTGATTCTTCTACAAGCGCATCACTGAAGGTTGAGCTGGCTGTTGTGCCCAACAAGATGAATTGCGCGTTCCAAGCCAGCGTACCTTCATGAATTGCGCGCGGATTTTCCACGGCAACCCTAGATTTTAACCTAGGTACTCTAAATCCGTCCAAAATTAGGTTTAATCTCGGGATTAGGCCTAATTTCTGATCGGGCTTAGTGTTAATGAGCTTTAGTTCATTTTGTTTAGGTCAAGCTAGCTATTTTTATGTGTTTAGGCCTTAATCAGTAGTTTATAAGCATTCCTTACTCCAATCCAGCACAAAGATGGAATTATTTATCGTCATAGCACTTCCGGTTGGGACAGGGGACCAAAAGTAGATGTCTACAGTCATTAATTCTCCATCTCCTAATAATATGATAATGGGCAAGCCCTTTATTCACAAGATCAGTGGAGGGGTGTCCACACTACACTTAGCAATAGCATATTCCACCAACAGAGGCTCTTTGGCCAAGCTGAGAGGCTTCCAAAAAACAACCCGACATTGTTACACAACCGCCTTGCAGCGCCTAGCAAAATTCGGTTGTGTTCCTAAAGTACCAAAGGAAGCAGGTAGAGAGGAAAAGATCTCAAGAGAGAGGCAAGAATATAGAGATGAAAAAGAAAGGAAAAAGCTAGCTATAGAAAACTTTGAGCCTGAGAAGGAGGACGTAGCTCGCCCAACCCCAGAAGGGTAGCACGAGGTAGTCGAATTGGTCGAAGGAGACATATCGCGAATAGTGAAAATTGGGAAGGATATCGAGCCCTGTGTTAGAGTGAACCTAATAGCTTTGCTTAGGAGAAATGCGGAAATATTTGTGTTTTCAGCCGATGAAATGTCTGGCATAGACCTGGAGGTCATGGTGCGCCGTTTGAATTATAAAGAAGAATCAAGGCTAGTGAAACAAAAATTAAGAAATTTCTCGGCTGAAAAAAGAACAAAGCCATCCAAGAAGAGGTGGACAATCTTTTGGTAGCCAAGTTCATTAAACCCTGTGATTACCCTGAATGGCTTGAAAATGTAGGTATGGTAAAAAAAAGACAACGGGCAATGGAGAATGTGTGTAGATTTCACGGACTTGACTCGTGCCTGCCTAAAAGATTGTTATCCTCTGCTGAGAATAGACTAGTTGGTAGACTCAACGAGTGGGCATGCTCTTTTGAGTTTCATGGATGCCTTTTTAGGATATCACCAAATCAGCGTGTATGAGCCTGACAGGAAGAAAGCAGCTTTCATCACTGAAGGAGGTGTGTTCAAATATGTGGCCATGCCCTTTGGTCGGAAGAATGCGGGGGCGACATTTCAGAAGACAATGGACGAAGTTTTTACCCAACAAAGGGGGAGGAACGTGGAAGTATACGTGGATGATTCCATATTAAAGAGCCTCACAGTGCAGGGTCACGTTTCTTACTTGGAAGAAACATTCAGTACATTAAACAAGCACCACACTAAGCTAAACCTGAAGAAGTGTTTTTTGGAGGGAGGTCAGGCAAGTTTTCGGGTTCCTAGTTAGCGAGTAGGGAATTGATGCGAACCCAGAAAAGGTTCAAGCTGTTTTAAGTCTCCCTGAGCTAAAGAGCATCAAGGATACCATGAGATTAACAAGCCGAATGACAGCTCTGACCGGATTCATTAGTAAATCATCAGACAAAGCTCTTTCGTTTTTCCAGCTCCTCAAGGGAAATCGCACTTTTTAGTGGGAACAGGCAGAGAATGAAGCATTTGCCAGAGTAAAAGAACACCTAGTCAGTCTGCCAACAATGATCGACAAGCCCTGAAACGGGTAAGAAGCTGCAACTTTACATTTCAGCATCACAACAGACTGTGGGGTTAGTGCTACTAGTAGAAAGAGGAAAAGAACAGTGACCAATATATTTTGTCATCCATGTTCTGACTCAAGCAAAGCATAAATATTCATTGGTAGAGAAGATGGCTCTAGTCGTTGTCATTACAGCCACAAAGCTAAAGCCATACTTTGATGCTCATGTCATATAGATACTAACAAATTATCCACTGGAGAAACCACTGCAGAGAATGGATGCTATTAAAATGGGCAATTGAGCTGACAGAGTATAAACTCGAAATCAAGTCTCGCACCACCATAAAGCACGAGCCTTAGCGGATTTCTTGGTAGAAGCTAGATACAAAGTAGTAAAGGAAGAAGTGGGAACCTGGAAAGTAGTTGTAGATGGGTCAGCCGCTAAGACAGGAAGTGGAGCCGGGATAATTATGACCTCTCTAGAGGGTAATATTTTCAAATATGAAATCAAGTTCAAGTTCAAAGCCTCCAATAATAAAGCTTGGTATGAGGCCACATTGGCAGACTGAGAATAAGCCTAGCAGCGGGTGCCAGAAAAGTAAAACTCCAGACTGACTCGCAGCGAGCCACCTCAGTAGACTGCTTTACTAAGTGGGTAGAGAAAGAGCCTACAAAGTATATCAAGGCCTCGCGGGTCAAAACATTCATATGGAAAAATATGTTGGGTTTTACGGTGCCCGAGCATTGTGCGAAACCAAAACTCGCCCCGGACCACATGCACAAATTTTTTACGACTTAACTAAACATGCATATAATTAATAAAGTAATAAACACATAAGAGAGAGAGAGAGAGAGAGAGAGAGAGAGAAAGAGAGAGAGAGAGAGAGAGAGAGAGAGAAAGAAAGAGAGAGGGGAAAGACTATCATACCCTTAATGCGTGATTCTACGTCGCACGAGCAAGAAGCTCAAACGGAGCAAGAACCTCAAGTGCGGCTCCTCTAACGAAGTCCACCCATGCGCCCAAAACTTTGTTCGTATTAACGGCTAGGTTAATATACAACACTACTAACAAGACGTACTCCAAGGATTTTCTCACGTTTTATGTGGAGATGCCCTTTTCTAGTTCAACTCTTGCAATTTTAATTCCCAAGACAAGCTTGGGTATTTATTGGAGAAGCATCTCCTTCCCTTTGATTTTCTATTAATGTGGGACTTTGCAAAGATGAGAAAATTAATGCAATTAATTTAATTCTAAAATAAATTAAAAGCAAGAAGCAAATAATCAAACAACAAGTGGCAAGCAAGTGGGAGGGGTTAGGTGAGGACCACAAGGGAGGACCACATGGTCTCCTTGCTCCCTAAGAAAAACCTTCACCAATCACGAGCACTTATGACCGGTCAAGGCTTGGGCAACAAGGATTGCCAAGGTGGCAGCCTTGTGTCTTGGCTAGGCCTGCTAGCCGCAACAAGCCCAATCGGGCATTTGCTGGTTGTTGGCTAGTGGGCTAAGCCGATGTGCGCGAGCAAGCTAGCTATTGGGTTGATGTGCTGTTGCTACTAGTGCGAGCTCGCTAGCAGGCTTATGCTAGCAGCGCTGCCAACCCCGCAAGCATGGTCGCACAGCATGCCCTGCATGGCCAACATGCCTAGCATGCTTGGCTGGCTGTCAGGCCATGCGAAGGGCCAACACCCCATGAGCCTAGCCCTCGCATAGCTAGCGCTTTGCTAGGCCATTGCGAGGCTATGGCTCGGGGTTTTGACTTGTGACGTGTTGTTTGACTTATTTGTTTTCCTCGTCAATTCCTAGAATCGACTCGACGTTTGACATTCGACATCGACGCTCTAAGCTCTGAATCCGACATCGGAGTACGAATCACCTTGTTTAACGTAATAAGACCTTCAGCTTAATTCGTAGACTTAGTTCAGTTGCGCGCTTGGGTGTGACCCGTTGGGTTCAGTTAAAGGAAAGCTATGAGATTAATATAATTAATCTCACTGATCAGAGATGACCTCTAGCCCGACTTTTCGATCACTTGACTTTACTGAATAATTAACTCCGTAATAAGTTTTGAGCCCTGTATCGGGATAATACACTTATTCGAAGGACACCATTCCTTTTTAAAATATTATCACTAGATTTGGGAACCCGTAATGCATAGTGTTTGATCATGGATGTCAATTCGATTGTGATACCATCAGGGATTACCTCGAAGATTTGGGAAGGCTGAAGCTTCCAACAAGCAGATACTCTACGCTCTGCAGAAGAAATTAGAAGAACATAAGGGGTTGTGGGCTGACTTAGTTCTAGAGGTGCGATGGGCAAACAGGACAACTGAGAAAGAAGCAACGGGCAAAAGCCCATTCTCCCTAACATATGGGGCAGAAGCAGCAGTCTCGGTAGAGGTACAAATCCTGAGTCTAGGGATACAACACTATGACAATCAGAACAACGAAAGCAGAATGAGGGAAGAGTTAGATCTCCTGCCGGAAGTCAGACTGAAGGCAGCTCTAAAGCTCGCAGCCCAAAAGAGAAGAATGGCGAAAGTGTTCAACAAATGAGTGAAGCAAAGAGAACTCAACGAGGGAGACCTAGTATTGAGGCGAACAGCTGCAGTTGGGAGAGGAAAGGAGCACGGAAAGCTGAGTGCGAACTGGGATGGACCCTTCATCATACACGAGCAAGTGGGACCATGACCTTACTTACTCTCTGACTAAGAAGGCTACATTCTACGAAATAGCTTTAACACTAACGTACTAAAAAGGTTTTTGGTATAACTTAGTTCCTTGCTTTAATTTCCAAGCACTTTTAGTTTTAAATGAAGAAGATCCAAGTACCAGCGTAAGTAAGTTGTAATACATGAAAGGAATTTTAACCTCTGCGTGAGGCTTTTCCTAATATGATGTTTTACTTAATGTTTAAACATTTGTTTGCAAAAGTTGTGTCTCTCTGCCAGATTAAGCAAAGAAAATAAAAGTTGTCAGGAGCAGCATAAGCCCAGTAATAATTAAATACATGGAGTAACCTGTGTGTCTCATTAAAGCCTCGTTAAAATAAAGCGATGTAGAAACCCTGTTCATAAGAAACAGTGACATAAAACATGCCCCACTAAAACACTTGTTGGCACTATAAGCCCTAAGCCCTATCTAGAGACAGAAGAAGGGTAAAATTAATGCAGCAAGGAAGCTATGATTCTGCGCTTACAAGGTCTCTTGCCTTGGCAAGGATGTGTTACAACGGGGACACCTGAAGTAACATTTCACCTATGCAAACCAAGGCCAGAGACACATGTAAGCAAAGATAGCAAGCGAAGCAGCTAAGAAATTAGCAAGGTCAGCTAGAAGGGAGAGGATTTAAAAAAGGTACCAAATGAAACACCCTCTTCTTCTGACCTTAGATGACTAAATCCTATCAGCACTCAACGAGCACAACAAAACGCCATTATACAATACAAAGTGCATGAATAAGAAACAAGCAAAAAATTGAGAGAAAGCCGGGAGATAAACACAAGTATAGCAAGTCCAAATCAAAATGAGCATAAACGTACCAGATTCAAGCTTTTGTCAGACACCCCCTAGCACTAGGTAAACAAAATTCAAATCCCGACAGATGAATATATTGTCATAGCAAGAAAAGAGAAACATTCCCAACAAGAGGCCTAATAACATACGATCTAAGAACCTCAAACAAATACCTACTGGCGGCCATGCACCCCAATAGAAGAAAAGGAAATCAAAAGCCAAAAATACTAGCTTACTATAGAGCGAGGAGAGGGATAATCTAATGAGCCACTAGAAAAGGAGGGAGATGGCCGCCAAAACCTTTATTGGTTCACAGGCAGAGCCTCCACCTCAATGGCAATAACAATTTAGGAGACTCGGCAAGCACCTTGTTGAGGATAGCATGGGCTAGGATACCGTAGGCCGCCACACGAGGATGGTCAATGGGGTAAACAAAGGCGTCTTGGTTCCCTGTCTGATCAACCAGGGCCCAAAATTGTTCAAACCTCTTCTATTGCTCCTCACCTGTGCCAAAGACATGATTAGCACTCCTACACGCAGCTTCCCGACCACCATCATGCCGGTCTGTGAGCAAGTTCCCAAAGGCGGGAGAGGAAACAAACTCTATCATAGCATTTCTGCAAGCTGCATCTAATTGCGCAGCATTATCTTCCTCCAAGCGAGCCACAACTACCTCCAAGTCCTGCACTCGGGCATGAGCCCTTTCTAATTCCTTCTCACGCTCGGCCAACTTCTGAGTTGAAGGAAGGTATTCAGTCAGTTGTAGCTCAGTAGCTTCTAACTCATCACTTTTCGCCTCTATCCTCTGCTCAAGCTCCTCCTTCTCCACAAATACCCGCTCAAGCTCAGCAATATTCGCGTTTAAGGTTAAAACTTGAGATTGGGACTGTCTCTAAATAGACAGCAAAGCATTAGCAAAATCCCCAACAAAGCAAGTAAACTGCCATAATAGCAGAAAAATGCAATCAGATCCCAAACATAACAAATATAAGAAATATATAAGTAAAAAGAACAAGGAAAAGTGGGTAAATGATTAAACTTACCCTCTGCAAGTCATGGCAGGCAATAACAGTAGGGACAATAACATACTCGCTCCCAGAGTCAGCGGGGAGCCTAATACCTTGGGTCAGCTTGAACCCAAGGGTGCCTCATTGAAGGAGATCATCAAGAAAGATGGACTCATCGGCTTTGACATCCATCAAGGGGCAAAAGGGCTCATTAGCCACCCTAGAAAGACACAGCACCGGTCTCGGGGAAGAACCAACATGAACTTCGGAAAATTCAAGGGGACCAGTTACCCTGAAAGTGCCTCCCGTAGACCTGGAAGAAACTGAATGAGGGCAAACATAAGCCTCGCCAAAATACTGGTTCACACAGTGGATAAGATCGCTAGAGGCAGGGGCAGCCCCACCTAGAGAGTTTAAAGCCGGGACAAGCTCAAATTGACTAGAGGTTGAGGCGAACAACTCCTCAAGTGTAGGAATTCGAGCCCTCTTTTAGGATGGCTCATTAGGGGGAGAAACAGGCCCCAAATCAATAACCTCAGAGGGACCCCCCTTGGCAAAAGTGATGGGCATGTGTCCACCACAACGATGACTATTGTAGACACCTGATTGTGTCTCCCCAAAAACCAAACCTAGTGATGAGTACTTTTCATGTCTTTGATTAACGAGTTTGGTAAAGAGTTGAAGAGTCTTGCAAAGTTTCCTTAAGCCTTGACCACATTTATACCCTTACCTATAATGTTTTAATCCAAAATCATCCATTTCATGTCCTTAGATCCAAAATAATTCATTTTGTGTACTTAAAATTCATTCATTTCGTGTCCAACTCATAAAAACGTCCAAACCAGATTGTTTTTGTCCATAATTCCAGTCCAATTATTGTTTAGTTAGATGGGGCTTGAATAAAGCTTCCAATGATATATTATAAGCCTAAATCCGACTTAAAATGAATAAGTTATGGCCAAAATACTAAACCAACCCCAAACCGAGCCTAGGTCCACCTTACCTACGACTCAATGATCATATGAAGGTCCAAATATCTTATTCCCAATCCTAATTCAGTTAGGAACTTCTAGAATCTTATAGAAGATTCTAATCTATCCTTCCCAAAACGATAAAGATCAAAGATTTCGAGATTGAACATAACTTCTCAGATAATAATCCTCATCCTGTTTGAATTCAGAGACGTTCGGATATATTTCAATCATAAAACCATTAGAAATCAAATCCTTAAAAATTAGATTATCCTTTAAAACCAGCGCACAACGCCAGGACCAACGCACCGCGACAGTCCCAACACGACTTGACAGAGCTATCGCGGCGCGTCAGTGTCAGTTTTACTTCCATTCAAATTCTGATCTTTTCCGATCGTCCACACTCTCTTTTTTCCTTATAAATGGGGGTTGTTTTCCCCATTTCAAATCAGCAAGAACCATCAATCATAAGCTATAACCACCTAACTCCAATCATCATCAACAATTACCATCAACAACCATCATAATTCTTATCATAATACCCGGAATTCTCAATTCCAATGTTCTTAGCCGTAGCCTAAACACACCCTTGATATTCTCCAAAATCAATCACAATACCTAATTTACGAGATTCGAATACTCCAAACCATACTCGACGTTGCCTTCGACCTCAACATGAAAGGTTGATAATTTTGAGGGTTTGATCCCAAATCACTATTCAATTCATATTTGATTTATTTACTTTGTTGACTTAACTTAATGTTTATTAACGCGTGTATTGTTTTGATAGCTAGAAGGTTGAGGCATCAAAGAAATTAATTCAAGTATCCTTTCTATTATCCTTTTGATTTTGGAGTAGAAATCACGTTTGCAATTTTATATTAATTTCTAGAATCATGTTTAGGATATTTTTATGATTTCTAGTATCATGTTTAGGATAACGCTTTGATTTGGTTATTAGTGACATGCTAGGAATTGTTATTAATCCGTTTAGTATCATGCCTAGGATCTTACTATTAACGATGTTTTCATGATATTGTTATGATGATGAATTGTTATATCAATCATATGTTGCTTGATTATTCATGATTTATCGTTATTGCTTGATCACGCCCCTTCTTGCAGGTTTAAAGGGAATTTGTACTAGAAATCATGCCTAATAAGATAAATAATAATTTCATTTAGGCTTAATATGATTTTAACTCAAGTGATCACCAATAACAAATTTGATTGTGCATTAATAAACAGGTTTAGGATTAATTTGATGTAATGTTGATCAAAAAGCGCACGTGAATATCATAAGAATTGAGTAGAGGCCTATTTAGGGCGGCTTCAATATCTTTTAGGTTGGATTCGTACCATCATCCCCCAAACATCCAGTCATGGTTTCGGACCACTATGGAGTTAGCGATCTCCGTGACTGTGAATGGGGTGTAACCTTCACACCCGTGAACGATTTACAAGTTCCTAAAACTTGTTGGCGACTCTTTTTCTCTAGCTTCTTTTCCTTGGAACGCCACCATGCCTGAAAGCATGAACCACAATAGGGCGAGAGTTGAAAAATTCCCTACAGTTTTTTGCGACTCCACTAGGGAGGATTTCTAAATTGATTCCTAATTTACTTTAGCAATTGATTTAGAATGAGTAGATGAGACTTAAGAGATTCAAGATATTCATGTGCGTAATTTTGATTAACATTGTGGCATAAGCGTAATAAGGTACGCATTGGAAAGACCATCTGTAATGCGTCGAAAACATAGGACATGCACGTAGGAAAGGCCGAAAATATTTTTCACAACTAAAAACGAAAAGATGATACGAAAAATCGGTAAAAATACCGAAAATAGAAACTGCCGCAAAGTGTTAGAACAATCGCATTTCGTCAGTGACCAACGTCGGACGATAGCACTGTCGCATCGCGACAACGCTGTCACCGGACGTTGAACCCTGTCGTCCTGCGATACAATCTGGCGATTCTACGTCAGCTTTCTGTCTTTGTGTTTCGCCTTATTCTAGTACTGTCGCGATAATTTTACTTCCTTATTAAGTTTTTTTGACCTTT